AGTCCCCTTTGTACCAAGCTCCCAAAACATACCTGTGTCCTTAGTGTATTAGTCAGGAAAGGCTAGATGATGCTGCAAGGGCAACTAACGGTCTCAATGGCTGAACAAAATAAAGGATGCCCAATGCTAGTTAGAGGGTGGGGTGAGTGGGGGGAGTGTCCTCTGCACTCAGGGATCTAGGTTGACAAGGGCCAAGCACAGGGAGCATTCGCTGTGACAGGGACAGAGTGGGCTTGGGGAACTCATACTCCCTCTTCTCTCTTTGACCCAGGTCTCTTCTGCTCATAGCCCATTGGCCAGAACTAGTCACATGGCCCTGCCTAGTTGCAAGGGAGGCTGCCAAGGGAGATCTGTGTGCCCAGAGAAGACAGGGAATCCAGATGTTGGTGAGCACTAGTAAAACCTACCATATTTGTTCATGTCTGTTGGGGGAAATTCTACGGTTGCTTAGACCCCTTCCTTGCCTTTAGGGTCTAGAATCACAGTATCAGGGCCATAGGTAGTGCACTTGGTTTAATGTCAGTGTTTCTACAAGATGTTACCCCACTCTCTGCCTGGATCCCTCTTGCGATGGGAAATTCAAGTCTCGCCCCCACTCCCCACCTCCAACCCAGCTAAATCCAACTGTGGACAACCTATTACAAAGTTTGTCCTTATATTCAGCTGACATGTTTCATCCCTTGACCCCCAATTCATCCTTGGGGCTCAGGCAACAAATTTAATTCTTTTCTCCTGCATGGCTTGAAAGATCTGTATCACTTTCCTCCAGTCCTTCCTCCTCTAAGTCCAACAACCCTTTGGTACCTCAGCCCCTACCTGCCCAGGTGGCTCTCCTCTTCATTTACTGTTGGTGTGTTTTACCATCAGCTCTTGTGGTAGGAGCCCCAAGTGCTGAATTGCAGAACTGGGCAGTGGAGGGGTGTGGAGAGCTGGGCAGGGGGAGACCTGGGCAGATCCCCCACCACAGACCCTCAGCTCGGGGCATTTTTGGACAAGACATCATGATGTGGATTCATTGTGTCTGAACCTCCTACCACCTTCATGCCCGTGCCAGGGTAAAGCTTTAGTCCCCCCTGCAATGGACTGAATGTTTGTGTCTCCCCAAAGGCATATGTTGAGATCGTAACCCCCAATGTGATATTAGGAGGTAGGTCATTGGGAAGTGTTTAGGTTATGAGGTGAAGTCCTCCTGAATGTGACTAATACCATTATAAAAAGGACTCCTGAGAGCTTTCTCACCTCTTCCACCCTGTGGACACAGTGAAAAAACAGCTGTCTATGAACTGGGAAGCTGGCTCTCACCTGACATTGAATCTGCCAGCACCTTGATCTTGGACTTCCAGTGTCCAGAATTGTGAGAAGTAAATTTCTGCTGTTTATAAGGCCCCTCCTTACGCAGTGTATGGTATTTTGTTATAACAGCCTGAACAGACTAAGACATCCCCTTTTTTCATGTATCACCAAGTAATCTCATTAATCTCCTAGGAAGGCAATTGTTTAGCTGTGGCTACATTAGCCAGCAGTCAAACTTCTTATCATTACATTTGAGTTGGGCTTTCAG